CTCAGTCATGGAAAGAAAAGGCCAAGAGTAGGAAGTATTTCACGTAATAGTGAATTAGAGAATGATGCATATGCCCATAGCCAATTTTAGCCTTTAGAAAACCTATCAATTAGTTTCTTTTCCTACGGTAAAAAGAGAGCAAGTAGAGCAAGAAGAAAAAACAGAAAGAGAAATTGTTTCATTTGAATACAATGTAATAGAAAAAGGGCTTTTCAGAATTCTTTGTCTCCTTGTCTCTCCCCTCTCGACATCTTCTTCACAGTTTCATGAATGTTATTTTAACAAATTAGTATCAAAGCGAGCTTTTATTTTCAACAAATTGGTATCAGAGCCGATGGCGAATATGATGGGACAAATGCCGCTACCACGATTAACGAAGATGAACTACGAGAATTGGAGCATCTAAATGAAAGCTCTTCTCCATTCTCAAGGCGCATAGGAGGTGGTCGAAGAAGGTTTCGAAGAACCAAAGGATACCACGGATTATACGGTGGCGCAAAACAAGGCGCTAAAAGAATTGCGATCAAAGGATAAGGCAGCATTATACATGCTGTTCCGGGCTGTTGACGAGTCGGGCTTTGAGAAGATTGCAAGGGCAACTACTTCAAAACAAGTGTGGGACACTTTTGAAAAGGTGTTCAAAGGAACCGACAGAGTCAAGAAAGTGCGTCTCCAAACTCTGCGTGGCGAGTTAGAGAGCATGAAGATGAAGGAGTTAGAAAATGTATCTGACTACATTACTTACAGACCGTGGCAAATCAACTAAATCAAAATAGAGAAATGTTACCCGAGACGCGGGTTATGGAGAAGATCTTGAGGTCGTTAACCGACAACTTTGAGAATGTTGTATGTGCGATAGAAGAGTCAAAGGACCTAGCGACGTTCACGGTCAATGAGCTTGCCGGTTCTCTCGAGGCACACGAGCAACGTAAGAAAAATAAGGAGGAGACACTCGATCAAGCGCTTCAGACTAAAGCATCAATAAAGGATGAAAAGGTACTCTACTCTCAAAATATTCAAGGTAGAGGTCGAGGAAGTCGCAGGAATGGTCGAGGCGGTCAAGACAACATAAATGAAGAAATCTATAAGGAGAAGAGACAGTCGAGCCAAGAAAATTGGCGTGGAAGAGGACGCAATCAAGGACGCGTCAAGGATATAATTCCAACATCCAGTGTTACAAATGTAAAAAAATATGGTCACTATGCAAATAATTGTAACTCCGACAAATGTTACAATTTTGACAAAATGGGTCATTATGCAAGAGATTGTCGAGTCGAGGAAAAGGTGGAAGAAACGATCAACCTAGCCTTGGATGACGCAGCAAACGGAGACATTCTCTTGATGGCCCAAAATGAAGAGCTAAACACAAAAGGACATGGTGGCACAAAAGACGATGCGATAATTGTGAGGCGGTGGAAACTGTTGGAAATGAGGTGATGCGCAGCGAATGTGGCGAAATCCTGATAGCGGAGACGAGAAAATCGAAGAAAGATGAACAACCGGATAACATAGAGCCCGAGCTTGGAGAGAGAGAGCTCCAATGGCCAAAAAAGCAATTTGAGGAAGAAAGAAGAAAGTGTTACAAGAATTTGACCAGAGGAAGAAACAAAGTTGACTGAGGCACAAAAGGGAAATCTTGATGATGTTGTATTTTGATAATCGGCCAGGGAAATCCTTTCTTTTCGGTGAGAGGAAATGATCGACAGGAGGTTGTTGGAAGAAAAATAAAACGCGTAAAATAACAAGGAGAGAGAATGACTGAAATTTTGACTGCGCTTAAAATCAGGTTATGAACTATTTAAATATAACCTATCCTAAAAATGGCTGAAGAGTGGCAATTGAATCTGTGTCACTTCCTCCAAAATTTCCGTCTAAAACTTAGTTAATCCATTCGACGTGTTTGTTAAATGGTCAAACGGAGAATTAATGTAATCGTCTGAATCTAAATAAGGAAAAACTCAGGTTTTATCTAACAGATGATGCTAGATCAAAGATCACCAAGTAGAGCATTACTTTTTTCAGGCAATTGATCGTACTGTCTTTGAACAAATCTTGGATCGTCGCACAGCCAAGAGTGTTTGGGACTCAATGAAGCGAAAATTTGGTGGAAACCAAAAAGTGAAGAAATCTCTTCTTAATGCATTAAGGAGAGAATTTGAGATCATAGAGATGAAGAATGATGAAAGTATCACAGATTATTTTGCAAGAGTGATGGTAATCTCCAACAAGATGAGAAGCAATAGAGAAGATATGCCAAACAAGAAAATTGTTGAAAAAATTCTACGTACCCTGACTGAAAAATTTACTTATGTTGTAGTATCCATTGAGGAATCCAAAGATACTGATAACATGTCCATTGATGAATTACAAAGTTCATTAGTGGTGCATGAACAAAAATTTCGAAGATCCAACATTCATGGAGAGGAGCAAGTTTTAAAAGTCGAAGGGCGAACAGAAATAAGTAATGGAGGAAGAGGAACTTACTGGGGCAAAGGACGCGAAAGAGGAAGATCAACTTTCAACAAAGCAACTATTGAATGTTATAGGTGTCATGAGTTAGGTCATTTTCAATATGAATGTCCAAAGATGAATAAGAAATTGAATTATGCAGAGTTAGAAGAAGAGGATGAAATACTGTTAATGGCTCATATAGAAAGACATGAAGCAGAAAGGAGTGATGCTTGGTTCTTAGATTCTGGTTGCTCAAACCATATGTGTGCAAGTAAAGGTATGTTTTCAAGCTTAGACAAGACATTTTTCCACATTGTCAAACTTGGAAATAATACAAGTATAAAAGTTATGGGAAAGGGTGCAGTGAAATTAACTTTGCATGGGGTTCATTGCACTATTAGTAATGTGTATTGGGTACTTGAACTCAAAAATAATCTCTTGAGTGTTGGACAACTATAAGAAAAAGAAGTAGCAGTGCTGTTTAAAGATGGTGTATGTAACATTTATCATCCACAAAGAGGAAAAATAACTTTGCATGGGGTTCATTGCACTATTAGTAATGTGTATTGGGTACTTGAACTCAAAAATAATCTCTTGAGTGTTGGACAACTATAAGAAAAAGGAGTAGCAGTGCTGTTTAAAGATGGTGTATGTAACATTTATCATCCACAAAGAGGAAAAATAGCAGAGTCAATTATGAGCGCAAATCGGCAGTTTATTTTGGGTACCGAACCATCTACCACAACAAATGAAGAAAGATGCCTCTAAGTTTCAAATACGGATCAGTCAACACTTTGGCACCATCGATATGGTCATCTCGGCTACAAAGGCTTGTGCACCTTGAAACACAAAAACATAGTGAAAGGCTTGCTGCAAATTGGAGCCCCAAACATCACCTGTGAGGCATGTATGAAAGGCAAGCAATATCGGACTCCATTTCCAAAAATGGGTAAATGGAGAGCAACAAAAAAAATTGGACTGGGGAAAAACATTGAAATTGATAAGAACACAGCCAAAGGAGGAGGAATCTTAGAGGAAACGACTGAACTAGTTGCTGAAACAATTGAACCAGTTGCTGAAAATGAATAAGGAAAAATTACGGAAGAAACGACTGAATCGGTTGCTGAAACAATTGAACCAGTTGCTGAAGAACAATTTTTCAGTAACCGTTGCACCAGATTTGACAATAAGGGAGGGGAGAAATCGACATCCACCTGTATGGTTAGCAGATTCCGATGAAGGCTATGAGAAAAAGGAAAGTAGGGAGATGGTGTACAAACTCCAAAAGACTCTCTACGAATTAAAACAAGCACCTAGAACCTGGTTTAGTCGAATAGAATCCTACTTCATCAAGGAAAGATTTAAAAGCAGTTCCAGTGAGCAAACACTCTTCATCAAGAGGAAGAGAGGTAAAATTCTTATTGTAAGCATTTATGTTGATGATTTTTTATTTACTGGAGACGATGAAGAATTATTGGAAGAGTTTAAACGTTCCATGAGGAAAGAGTTTGATATGACTGACTTAGGTCATATAAGATTTTTTCTTGGAATAGAGATAATACAAAGATTAGATGGTATTTTCATATGTCAAAGAAAGTCTGCTGCTGAAGTTCTAAATCGATTTGGCATAGAGAATTACAATTCTATTTGTAATCCAATTGTTCTAGGAAAGAAAATTGTTAAAGATGAAAATGGTGCAAAAGTAGATGTAAATTTGTATAAACAAATAGTTGGAAGTCTGATGTATTTCACAGTTACTCGTCTTGATCTCATGTTTGTTGTAAGTTTGATTAGTCATTTTATGGCATGTCCAACACAACAACATTTTGTAGCAGCTAAAAGGGTTTTAAGGTACTTGAAAGGTACGGTAGATTATGGTGTATTTTATAGAAAGAGAGGAGTTAGTGATTTAAATGGATTGACTGGTAGTGACTATGCTAGAGACATGGAAGATAGCAAGAGTACTTCAGGCTATGTGTTTATGATGAGTGGAGGAGCAGTAGCTTGGTCTTCTCGTAAGCAGTCACCATATCAACCACAGAAGCTGAGTTTGTTGCTACTAGTGCCTGTACATGTCAAGCTATTTGGATGAGGAGGATACTCAAAGAGATTGGTCACTCTCAAATAGAAGGAACAAAGCTAATGTAAGTAATACTTCAACTATTAAGCTATCCAAAATTCCAGTTCTACATGGACGTTCCAAACACATAAGAAAATATTTCGAAAGTTGCGTGAAGAACTTGGTGTGCAGAGTTTTTCTGACTTGAACTAATTCTTGACACAGAAGAATAAGTTCGAGGGAGGAATTATTAGAAGAATTTGATTAGGTCAAAAAGAGTCATAGTATTTTTAGGGATCTAGTTTAATTATTTTTCAAATTTGTTTACAAGATTTGTTTCTGTCTCCAAGATTTGTAGTTAGTTTCTATTTAGGGTTATTTGTAAGGCTATAAAAGCGAAGTTTAGTATTCAATAATATCATCACTTCGAAGTTCAATTGTTTATGTTTCTGCCTTAGTTATGTCAAAACCTAACCGAAAGAGGATGAGAATGGAAGAGAAAATGGAAAAAGAAAAGAAAGAGTTAGAAATGAAGGTTGAAAGGTCAGAGAAGGAAATTGCTGAGTTGAGTGAGAGTTTCTCCTATCTCAAACAGGAGAAGGAAGAGAATGAGAAGGTAATCTCTGAACTTGTCAAGAAAGTTGAAGAAGGTATGGAGAAACAGAATGACTTGTTAATGGAGATTGATGCTCTAGTGGACGAGCTAGTGAGGGAGGAGAAAGATATAGAAATGCTAACTCAACAGAGAGACTCACTCGACGTGAACCTGAATCGAGTCCAACAGGAGGCAGTGAATTTACGACACACGATTGAGATACTCACTTATGATAAAACCGAAATGGAGGAAGCAAAAATGGAAGTTGAAAATGTTGTTGTGGACTTGCGAAGGGAATTGAGTAAACTAAACGAAGCTATGACGTCTGAGTCGAGCGTGGTTGAGAACGGGAAAAATGAGGAGTTGGTGTTTCAAATGGGCTGTTCTCGAGAAGCTCTAAATGAAGTCTCATCAGAAAAGGACAAGCTCAGTTTGCTGCTTGAGGACAAGGAGAGGAAATTGAAGAAACAACGACTGAACTCGAGAAAATGAAAACAGCGCAGGTGGAATCATTGTATATAGCATTTAAGTTTATGGAGAAGTTTTGTTGGAATAAACTTAAATGATATTTATTTATTTATTATTATTATTATTATTATTATTTTTTGTTAATTTTAGCGAGCTTTGAATTCAGAGCTTGAAAGAAAATACCAAATAGAAAAAAATGAAAGGACAGGTGGGTTAGAAAACGATGCATGTGTGATATCCAATTTTAGCTCAACCTATAAACTAGTTTGTTTGTTTTCACGGTAAAAAAAACAGACTAAGAGAGTAAGAAGAAAAAGGAGAGAGAAATGTAGAGTGTAATAGAAAAAGAGTTTTTTAGAATTATTTGTCTCTCCTCTCTCTACGTCTCCGGGAAATTAAATGCAAGAGTGTTGTATGAGTTTGAAGAAATGAAGTCGCTCCCATAATAATAAATATAAATAAAAACAAATGGGAAAGAAAATGGAAGATTGGGAGAGAGTTAAACTATTTTTTTTTTAATTGATTGTATAAAAATAATGTTATAACAAATAATAGCATGAAATAATGTTGATATGCTTTTTAATTTAAGTTTTACTAACAAACACAATTTAGAAACAATGAAGACATACAATTCAGGCAATTAAGTGAACATTCAAAATAGGTGAAGCCTTGACATGAGTGAGAACGAATTCAAAGAACGAAAGCAAACAAATTTGGAGCAAGATAGAACTTTGGCTAAGGTCAACTAAGTAAGTGGTATTAATATCGATTCGGTTGAAAAACTTGCCGTATGTATGATGATATGTGTTCAATGGCCCTTGCACGTGTCATTTATGTTTTATGTTATATGATGATGTGATGATGTGATGATTTGAGTATATGATTATATGAGATGATGATATGTGTTCAATGGCCCTTGCACGTGTCATTTATGTTTTATGTTATATGATGATGTGATGATGTGATGATTTGAGTATATGATTATATGAGATGATGATATAATAACATGATGATGTAAGATGCATGATGATGAGATGACTTAATATGATGATATTCCATATTAAGAAAATGTGCAAGTATTAAATGTCATGATGCATGACGATAAGTTTTCTAAGACACAACTCTAATTCATGTTAACGATGATGAACATATAAAGGTCAATGGATGCATGTTACTTAGAGTCATGTGTGAATGTTGTATAGGTTTGTGTCATAAGAATGATTTAAAGATGAAAAATACAGAGATCACATGCATATTGTGTGTTTATATACGTCGGGTTACTTCTCCACTTATGATGATGAGTACGGACGCGTACACTATGATGATGATGATGACATGCCTTGCATGATGTTCGAGGGTTTGCTGACCTCTAAACATCACGCTACGGACAACTAGTTCGAATATGATGGGTCCTAAGGGGTTTGAACTGTCTGGGGACTCACACTCGTAAGTGTGGGTTGTGTGTAGGGAAGTACTACATATCTAATTTTGTCTGGACTAGAGGTCACCTCTATGATAGTTTTACCACTCTTTATCAACATCAATGAATAATAGTTTACAAGACACTCACGGAAGCTACTAGCTTTGCTTGAAATTATTTGAGATGAAAAATTTAGTTGGGTAGAGATATTTCCTCATTTTTCATGCCAAATCTTCTATCTTCGATAGAGGCAACCAAATACGCAAAAGTAGCTAATAATAGGTTTATGTCCGATAGTGTCTCAAATAGTGAGACCAAACCTATTTTTAGCTAGAGAAACTTGTTGATCACTTAGTCAACATATAGCATAGTTTCAACCCAAAATCTTCTTGGGACAATCTTTACTTGTAGCATGCTTTGAAAGATTTCTACAAGATATTGATTCTTTCTTTCTATTACATCATTTTTTTGTCATGTTGACACATGTAAACATACGACGTATTCCACACTTATCTAAATATCGATCGAACTCATTTGTTGTGTATTCCCTGTCATTGTCTGAGCGTAGGCAATAAATCTTCATTCCTACTTCTCCTTCGATCGTCGTCTTGAATTATTTAAATTTTGAGAATGGGTTAGAATTTTCTTTCATAAATAAAGTCAACACATATTCCAGGTAGTTATCAATTAACGTCACCATGTACCATATACCACTTATTGATGTTTGTTTCATTAGACCGAAAAAATTAGAGCAAATTAACTCTAACGGTTTCTTAGCTCTAAACTTTGACTCTTTGTATGGTAATTGATAAGTTTTACCATACTGACATCCAGTGCAAACAACATCTGTTTTAACTTCAAGTTGAAGTAACCTTTGAGTATGAATTTCTCAATAAACACCTTCAACTTGTGGTAGTCAACATGCCCCAACCTTGCATGCCATAGAACTATGGTTTCATTCTTTTGAGCCTTGTCTACATAGGAAACTCTATAGATAGCACGTAAATAGACTCTACTCTTCACTCTTCTATCATTGGCTTTCCTGTTATCTTAACATCTTCATGACTTTCACATCTTTTATCTCGAACAAGATGTGGTATCCCAATGTTGTTAGTTGTGACACTTAGAAAAAATTCTTCTTTATAGTCGATACATAATAAACACAATGTATTAACACAATATCAGATTTTTACCAGGTACGATTGTCACATTATCGATATGAGCAATTGACAATTTTGTTGTGGCTATGTGTACCACATGACTTCCTTTGTACTCTTTCTTGTCTCAAAATTTTCTCTGATTGCCAGTTATGCGGTTGAGCATCTTGAATCAACATTCGAGTCAACCTCATAATCGATATGCACTCCCACCATTGCCATGAGTACTAGTTCGTCTTCTTCTAAGGCACATAGTATCCCTCCATCCTATTCGTCCTCCATCTTCATTTTAGAGGTTTTCACATTACTTTCGACATTATTTTTCTTGGGAAAGAAATCATTAGATATGTGGCCCTTCTTTCCACCGTTGTAGCAAATGCCTTCAAATCTCTTTCCTTGAGAACTTTTGATATGAACCAAGAACTCTTTGATATGCAAAATCAAGAAGAATCACGTTTCATTTATGCTATAAAGGCTTCCAGATACTTCAAGTGGGGGTTCATTTATTCTTAGACGGTTACAAATTGATAGTGTATAATTGAAAACTAGATTTATGGTATTTCATTAATGTATTTTAAGTTTTAAGATTTCTTATTTACTTTTAGGTTACTTTTACATAGTGTCTAATTATAATGATATATTATGAAGGTTACAACTCTTGAATCCTAACGAAGGTGGAGAGTTTCATTTTGAGGCTATATAAAGTCATGTATGTTATATTTGTAAAATAGACTTATAATATGTAGTAAAAAGAGCATTTGTGCTTTCTTTAGCCAAAGAATAAGTTTCTTTACAATTATATGTAGTTTAGATTTTATGTTTAAAATCATTCAAAATTGACATGATTAATCTTTCTTGTGGAGTGATTCGAATCTCAAAGAAATTTTCTTACTTGTGTTTCATGCGGATTATGGTTGGGGCTAAGTTTTCTTACCTGTGTAGTATCCATGCGGCTTATGGTTACTCCAACTTTACTTGTGTGGGGTGCTTATTCTTCACTCTTCAACATGATGCCTCCCATTTGTTTAGTCATGGTTTCTTAGCTTGTTAGCAAATTTTCAAACTCTATAAGTGATGGTTGAGCGTCAATAATGAGCTTCTATATTCTGGTCACAATCCATGGATGATGATCCTTTTTCATTCGAGCTTCTCAATGACGAATTTCGGATCTAGTTCAGTAATCTCAACAGATCGACTTGGTCATACCGAAGTACTAAGCAATCATCATGTTGGGTTGTAAGATTGATAATAGCTCGTTCTCCAAAAGTTATAACCTCTTATCATTCTTCTTTGAGAAAAACATTATGAGCATGTCCTATGGTTCTTTCGGTGTCTTGTCATCTCAAATGTGTTCCAACATCTCTTCTTCGACTGTGGTCTTTAAGGGAAACATTGTCTTGCCTGTCTTAATTCTCCATTTGCACAAGGTGTCATTAGCATCCTCCTCTGACTGCGTAATTTCGCTTTCGCCAACGACCTCCCAAAGATCTTGTTTTTGTAGATAAGACATCATGCATGTTACCCACATGTTATAGTTGTTGTTGTTGTTGAGTTTCTTGATTCCTCCGTCAATTTGGAGATCACCAATCGTATTGCCAGTATCTCAGTAATAGAAAACAAGCTAGTTTTCGACATAAAACTTGCAAAGTCAACTCAAGATACAAAGAAACTCACTCGCTAACAATCTTAAAAAACCGTTTGTGATGTGAAAGATCAATTAAAGTTGCAATCACAGAGTATACTAAGAGTTTCAAAAGATCTGACAACCTATATTAACCTTGCTCTGATACCAGATTGTTGAACATAATTTTTTTTTTGTGAGAAATGTTAGGTTAAGTAGTCTGTTGCTTGTTTATATCTTACTCCATTGTTATAGATAGGAAAACTATGTATGATAGATGACATATAAAGTAAATGGTTACATACAGTAAACAACCATGTATAGTAAAATGTTATATCTTATAAAGTTATATAGGGTAGATAGTTATGTATAGTAGATAACTTTATATAGCAAACTGAACCATCTAGATTGAATATGTGAGTTGTTGTGCACTCCTAACCACTAGTATTAGCGTTAGGTGAGATTCCCATGATCTATGAAGATAGAAAGCTCAAATATTGTAATTGAGAAGTTTGATGGATCTGATTTTGGTTTCTGCAGGATGCAAATCTATATTAGAAAGATCTTCGCGAGCCTCTTTCTGGGTATAGTCGGATACCATGATCACGGAGCAGTGAAAATTCAAGGATTGGTAGGCTTTAGCGTGGATCTGATTTGCGCTGTCCAAAAATGTGGCGTTCAATATCGTCAAGGAGAAGCTAACGTCGAATTTGTTGAAGGTGTTGTCGAATATGTACGAAAAATCAAAGAGGAAACAAAATCGTAAATCTAGATATGAGGATGATTATGTAAATTCAACCGAAGACACAAAGGATGCTCTAATTCT